TGGGGCAGCACTGAACCCTACATGTCGCTCTGCACGCTTGCAAAAATTCTTTGTGGACTGATGATTGCATCGCGGCCGGGCGGCGGGCCTGCTATAGCCACGGTTGAGCGTGGCTGGCGACGCGGCGCTACCACACGCTGCCTGACATTATTGAGACGAGGACGGGAGTGCAATCGCGGCTGGCTGGAGGGCGCCCTGATGCCTTGGGGCTGGAACCGGGCGGATTACCTGACTGTGCTATAGCAATCAACGACTCTGTCTGAGGCAGCGGCGTCGGTGCTCTCCATTTTAATTCCTGTTTTCCTCAGCATGCGTAGAACGGCGCACAGAATGGTGTTTCAGCTTCTGACAGTAGCACGGTAGCCGTCCTTCAGCAATGCAAACGCCAAGCTGTCGTCGAGTGTTGCCAAGGAGGCTGAAATGTGCGTCTGCATCGTGCTACCGTCATGCCTGACGACTTGCCTGCCTCATCTTCAGCACTCGGCCAATAATCCTCCCTGTGCAATGTGCATCATCATCGACCCTGCCGCTCGTCGCCCGGGCTCGGCGCGCGCATCGCGACGTATCATGGCCGTTCTGGAAGCGCCCGCCTCGCCGCATCGGCTGGCTTGCCTTTGCCTGCCGCTTCCCTGCCTGCTCGCCCCATGGTCCCATCCCACACCTCGGCATCCCCATCAAATAGCTTCCCCGAATTCACCCCGGGTTTCCACTGAAAAAAAAAAAAAAAAAGAAAAACGGGCTTCTCCCGCAAGTGACCCCAAAATCCGCCAAGAAGTCGGAACCGCGGCGACGACGACACGGCGTGGAGACCGACCGACCGAACGGACGGCTCAGCGCGCGCCTTGCGGAGCAGCGTTCTTCCAACCACCCCAGCCAAGTCCTGGCCCCCAAAAGACCCGACTCGCTCGCCTCGCCTGCCTTGCGCGACGTGCCACGGGCGCCTTACGTCATGGTGGAGCAAAAACGGATTTTCCGAGGCCGGACGTCCAGGTCCGAGCAGTAAGCAAATCTCTGGGCATACGGGCGCCCGGTGCGGCCTTTCGTTTTGGCAGGGCAGGGCGGGCGGGCGTGTGCGGCGCGCGTACTTCTCCGCACGCGCGTGCAGCGCGTGGCACGCCGGCCGGGGCAGGGCACAAGGCAGACTTGCGTGGGGACAAGCTGGGCCGCAGCAGAGATGCACCAACCACCGGGCTATCACCACGTCGCCCGAACGAACATCCTGCCTCGCGCGGAAGGCGGCCTCTGACTCGATCGACGGTAGAGACGCGACAGACGACGTTGATGACTGCCATGTACAGGCTGCCCAATCACCGTCGCCACCATTGAAGGCGGGCGGTCGGCATATTGGCATATTGGCATATTGGCATTGGCATGCTAGAGCATACTAGAGCGCAGTAATTGCTGGGCAGCGCGAGTGGTTTCCCCGTTGCTCGGGTCTTGCCTGATGTGTTAATCAATGGGAGATCCTCCGTTGCGGCTGCCTCGCCTCGCCCGACCAATGGCGTCGCTTTCCGCCAGCTGGGAAGCATGCGTCGTTATGGGCGAAAACGAAAAAAAAAAGCCTCCGGCGGAAGGTGCAGTCTTCTTCCGCCGCCGGCGCCCGTCGCATTTTTCTTTCTCTCTGGCTTTGAGAGCCGCTAGCCCAGCCGTGCCGCTTTGGTTTGTGTGTTTGTGTACGGTTTGCCCACTACAATCCCGCACCCACCCCCACTTTCGACATTCAATTCCCACAGTCCACACCCCGTCTTTTCCCCCCGTCCCCGGCAACGTTTTTCCCCCCCGGGCCAGAAGCCGCCGCCGACGCTCCGACGCGTCGGCCTTCGGCGCCGGCTTTTTCGACCCGCGTCGGAAAAGGTCTCTCGCACGAGGTCCCGTTGCTGGTTGCCGCGGCCGACGGTCGTGGCCGCGGGCACACGTTTCCGCTCGCTCTTCGTTGTCGCCTTGCTGCCTTGCTGCCTTGATGTCTTTCTGCCTTGCTGCCTCGCTGCCTTGCTGCCTCGCTGCCACGCAGCCTTGTTGCCTAGTCACAGCCTACCTACTCAGTGCGCTCGTCCTTAGTCGTCTCCCCTTACTCAGTAGTCGCATTTCATTTTCAGCCGCACTCTACTACCTACTTTGACTCCCGACTACTCGTTGCGACCACAGTATTCTCTTTTGCTTGGCCTTTCCCTTTTCGTCCAAGTCCTCTGCATCTCCACAACAACAACGCGAATGTGTGAAGCGCCGGCCGGCCGCGGCCCAATCTTCAACGCTCGTCCTCCCCTGCGAACCCTTTTTCTCTCTCTCTCCCTCTTCCGTCTTCCCCCACACCAACGCACACCGGCAAAAAGCGTCTTCTCTCTCTCTCTAACGTACGAACCCCTTTTCGCACCGCGCTGCTGGGTCCCCTTCGGCATTGACGAAGAGACGACGGAAGATGTGCTGGCGGGCACGCTAGGAGTGGGGGTTAGGTAGGGGACCGGGCGTGGGCGGTGGTGGTGGTAGGAGCAACAAGACAAGCGCTTTGACGAACGGACGGGCGCATGAACCACACGCACTACTACTACCTACTCCACCGGCGGGCTGGGTTCGGGCTTGTTGGCTTGTTGGCTGGCTGGCTGGCTGGGGGATAAGAGAGAGAGCGCGAAGCATGGACGGTGGTGTGCTTGTGCGGTGTGTGCTTGGGTGTTCCCCTGAGCCCGCACCCCCCGTGCCCCGCTACTCGGTGGCGAATGTCATCCGTGCGGATTTTTAGGCATGTTCGGACAGCGACGATACGGTCAGACCTCGTTCCTGCGCGTGCAAGGAGGCGCCTGGTACGTGCTATCACGTCACCTCCCATCAGATCATCGTGGCGACTCGCGAGAGAGAGTGCCGCGCCGGTACCTGAGCACCCTTTTTTTTTCCGGCGGGTGGGGTGGCTTATGCGTGCCCCGAGCGAGGAGGGAGCGCACGGAGAGAGGTGTGTGCGCCGTCTTGGGGCGTCGTTCCCGGCGGGCCTCGAACACACAGACCGGGAAGGTGGGAAAGGACAGAAGGCGGTGGCCGTGTGGGTTTTTTTTTGGGGGGGAGGGGAGTCGCGGCTCTGCGGACGGGCCAGGAACAGGTGGGGAAAAAGAGGCTTCTTTTTGGTGGGGATGAGGAGAGGAGGGCACAGAGCCTCCTGAAGATTGAGCGTCGCTCTCGCCTTTGCTTGACCGCCAACTCTCTTTCTCTTGCGCGTGCGTGTGGGGACTTTCTGGAATGCCTTTCCCTTTTCTCTCTCTATCTCTATCTTTTTTTTTTTGGGCGTTTGGTTCGGGCCAGAAGACGCGAGGCGTTCAATTGAACTGTACTAACACACACACACTTCATCACCCGACCGCTTTTTTGCCTTCTATCCCTCCTCCACCCCAGCGCCGCGACCCTCTTTTCAGGCTTCACCGAAGGTTGTGCGTTCCTGCGTTAGCGTTTGGGTTGGGCGCCGCCGCCGCCGCCGCCGCCGCCGCCGCCGCGCTGCTCGCTCGCGAACGCCGACTGACCACTACCGCTTCCACCGACCGCCCGCTGCCGGCCGAGGAGAGGAAGAGGATGGTAAGGTGAGGTGAGGTGGACGTGCTGGCGTGCTGATGGCTTTCTCCGCGGTGGACCCATCTCTCGGAGCACAGAGGTGGCATTCACCAGGAGAGGTAAGTCGGCGCGAAGCCGGGGTGGTGAGGAAGGCGGACGGGCGATGAAGTTGGTAAAGGAGATTCGGAGTCGTACGGATGGTTGAGGAGTGGTGACGGAAGTGTCGTGCTCTCTTCAATCTGCCGCATTTGCGGATTGTGATGCGTGAATCTGTTGCACTGAGCCTCGGATTGTTGTACGCTCTTCGTGGCTGTGAACATTTGTCTGTTGGAATGACTTGTTTCTTGCAGTATCTGCTACCTTTGGTTCATCTGAAGTCAGTATGTTCCGTACTTTGATTACGGCCCTTGAACTGCCTTACGGCGTTTAAAAAAAAAGTATTGTGTATGGGTTCTCTCAAGGCTCTGAGTAGCCCACGGTTCGCTGCACAATCAAGCCCAGACGGTGACGAATGGGCCACTGTCCACACTGCACCCGAACACGCCATAGGCTTGTGCTTTCGTATACTGGCTGTGTCTACCTGATCTCCCGAAGCTCTGCGCGAGACAGTACATGGACTCCTTGATAACGGTCTTATCCACTCGCTACTTGCTCAACGCTTACGGGCCAATGTGGATCTACACTGACACGGCACTCGCAAGTTAACACGAAGACAAAGCGCAAGCTGGCGGAATGCCCGTAGAAACTCAAGGGTTAATGTATGCTTTTTCCATGCTAGCGAGGGCATCAAGGGGGTACTCACTCTGTAGATGCTGACGTAGAACATTCACGCACAGTATGTAGGATGTCAGTTGCCTTTGATATTCTCCTTCTTGCTCTAATGCCTTGGCGTATGGCTTCTGTATTGGTTGGATCTGTGAACATTGGCATGCTACCAGGCAGAGTTCTCCGGATTATTATTGAACTTAACTCTGGTAGAGAAGCTCACCGTTGAGACTAGGGTTTTCAGATCATTGGAGGTTTGACTTTGAATCATGTCTTCTCGGAAACCGCGACACCCAAAAATCCCGAGGAAAATTTGGAAGATCACTTAGCCAGAAAGCGGACGTATTTTCCGATTTTGTTTCCAGCATCTTATTTGGTCCTCTTTGGTACCTTCATAGTGATGGTACAGGGGGAACTTGGAACGCAAACACTCGTTGAAGTGTTCATTCTTTGCATCCCAGGATCCGGGGCGGAGAAATGAAGACGTGAAATGGCTTGTGTCTTGAGCTTGAGGGCGAACTCGTCGAGGCATCTTCAAGAAGCTCTCAAACAGAGAATATAACACATTTGACGCCGAAGCAGAAAAGATAGAACAGTCCGGGTGGCAGCCACCGACACGACAGGAACCCCGTCCCATCAACCTCACCGCCAACATCAACACGCGCACTACTACTACCACCCCTCAGCCCCCTCTCCCAGCACCGCCACTACCCCAACCCCAGTTCCAGCCCCTCCACCTCCCCCAACACCCTCCGACTATCCCACCTCCCCCCGACATCCACCCTCCCCATCCCCGCCACCACCTCCCCCACCCTCTCCCCATACACCCCCGCATCAACCACCCACGCCCACTCCCACGCCCAGGGCGGCGGCGCAACACCCCCATAATCCTCGCCTCCGCCCGGCCGCCGCAGCCGCCGCTGCAGCACCAACAGCCCCCGCGGCACGACGACGAGCTGGCACACGCACGCGACGACGGCGGCCAGCCCCCACACGTCGCTCTTCTCGGTGATGCGCGGCGACTCGGGCGGGCGCCAGTTGGGGTCGCCCGGGGAGCGGAAGGCGCCGCGGGGGCGGCGGCGCAGGGCGCGCTCGCAGCGCTCGTTGGTCGCCCAGCCTGTTGGGGGTTTATCTTTATTTTTATTTTCTTTCGTATTTTCTTTTGGTTTTTTTTTTTGGGGGGGGGGGGGGGGGGGGGAGGGAGGAGGAGGAGGGAGGGAGAGGGAGGGAGAGGGAGGGAGGGAGAGAGAGAGAGAGTGGAAATCACTTACCGAAATCTCCGAGGATGGCGGTGAGGCCACCCGGTGCGGTGTTGTCCGGGTGGAGGAAGACGTTCTCGAGCTTCATGTCTTTGTGGATGATGGGGTCCCAGGCGGGGAGGGGGTCGTTGGGAGTGCGGATGCCGTGGTGGCAGTAGGCGAGGGCGGCGGCGAGGTTTTTGAGGATGGTCGTCACGGTGTCGGCGCCTACTGTCTGCTGGGTTCTAATGTGACTGCGTCTGAGGTTTAGTAAGTGTGCGTGAGGCGAGGGCCTGCAGGTGAACACGGCAGGTAGAGAATACAGAACTTACTCGTTGACGAGGCTTAGCAGGTCGCCCCCCGTGTGATATTCTACGACGATAGCGCCCTCTAGTGCGTCCATGTCTGCGAAGGCTTCCATCATTTTGATAATGTTTGGGTGATCGAGAACCTTCAGTGCGCGATACTCTCTGAATATGCATTCCAGTGCGGGTCTTCCAACCGCAATTTTCTTGACGTACGACTTTTCATCGCCTTCCTTTCCTACGACATAGATTCCACACACCAAATGATTGACATGGCGAATAGGGCGGACCAAGTCGTATCTGTCAGTGGGTTCTCGGGCAATCATGTCGGGCCCTGGTATATTCTGCGGACGGCGTCGGTTAAAGGGATATGTAAGGCAAATAAATTGTGTGAGGTTTGATTACCAGGGAGAGGGCCCTTTCTCTTCCTCAAAGATAATTTATAACTTGACTAAAGCCTCGAAACACGTCACGTTAAGCAGCGTGGAATCACATCAACTGTGGATGCTATTTAGCGCGACCTCGCTCTGTGTCACACGAGACAACCTTGAAAGCAAATCAAAGGCGATCGTCGAGGAATAAAATATCCCCCCACTTGACTTGCTCTTGTTGTATGTGGCGTATGTGTTTGTTCATACGAAGGAATGCAAAGGACACTATAAAGGCGAAGTCATGTCAGGCTCAAGGCGTATATTGGCTGCGTGGCTTGTTGGATCTTAGCCGCACGCCAGGCCAATGCCACGCGCTGTATTTCATATCTCGAAAGGAAAGAGAAGTATATTGTGCACGTTACTGCCACGCCTGTCTATCTCCACTTGTGGGGGAGTGTGGTTTGGCGTGGGAGAGGAGGGAGGGTGTGTGTGGTATATGTGTCGGAAAAGATGCTTCAGAGGACGTGTTTGTCGGTTGGCTTCTTTCCTTCTTTCCTTTTGCGTTTATTGTGGTCGTTGAGAAGCAAAAGGTGGAGCTGTGGTTGTTGAGTGAAAATAGATGCGGAGAGGTGAAAGGCGGCGGTTTACTCCATGGCGTAGTCGGTTAGGTCCCCGAGATTGCAATGCGTGAGATGTATGTCTCCTATCATTTGCTGGGTTTGATGAAGCTGTCCACCATTTCGGATGTGTATGGGTGGTCAATGATACGTAACGCATCTGTTGGACCTCATGATCATATTAGACCTCATGATCACGAAGATGACCCTCGTTGAGGATGAATGTCATCATCAGACCCACATGAGCTCCCTTCAGCAACGTATCATCATGATCAGGCTCCCTTGCTATCCCTTTCTTCGCGCATATATAAACCACCAGTAGTAGCAGTGTTCAATAGATCATCCAGCTATCAGCTTCACTTCCTCCACCCGGCTGTGATCACCCATCCGACAGCATCGTTGTTTTTACCAGCAAGTCTGACTGGAATCGCGTCACCGCCTTCTTTTCGACGTAATTCACGCGGTTATCTATTTTCCCCTAAGGTCTACCCCGGCGGACTTTCCGGACTGACGGGTAATGCTATTGACTATTCCTGTGCTTCGAGAAACACTACTCGAGTAGCCCTACAACGGATATCTGGTCGGTGTCACCTACAAATAGGACATGCTGCCACTTGCCCTCCTTTACTTGTATTTACAGTAATGTGTGAAGAGCGAAATTAGAAGACCATTTGCGGGGAAGCCGGGAGCCACGCCCAAAACCCGGGGTCACGGTGTCGGTAGAAAGTCTTGCCTGCAGAGGAGGCGGAGCTTGCAAGCGACCCTCCACCAAAAACCTGGTGATAGAATGGCGGCCGAGAAATCGTACGAGCATGGCAATCGGACTCTACTGGTTGATTCGCAGACGGGACGCGCATTGGATTATTCGGTTTGGGTGCCTTGCCGGGGGCAGACTCTCATCGGTGGGGTTTGGCTGCATTAGGCGAAAGGGAAAGACTCGATGTTCGTATCATGAGCTGGTGCACTGTGGATGTTCTGTAGAGAGATGCCAAATGTGTCAGTCGATCAGTCGCAGGAAGTCGATACACCATGACCCACTTCTCCACGCGTTCCTTGCTTGACGGCATGCGACTTTCTTAATCAGGAAAAAATCTCCACACTAAGCTTGCGAAGCAATACTTGGATGCATCATGCATGTAGCTCCATGCTTGCTTCCGAAGACTCCATCTGCATCAGATTCGCATGCGCATGCAACGCATACCCACCAAAAGATATTGAATGTAGGAGTTATTGTTGGGATTAGACACGGCGCTCGCCTGACAATAGATAACGCTATTCTTGGAGGGGCCGCTATAAACATTCCAATGCAGCCAAGCCTCGTGATCAGCTTCAGTGCTCAGGCTATTGCAGCTGGGAGTGTTTGGGTCCAGTGATGGGTGAAGGCTTGCTTTTCAAGTACCTCTTGGCCCCCCGAGCTTGGCCAGAATTCGTCTCACCACTACGTCTTGTGTTTAACGTCGTCTATCTTCTCTATGATTAAGGCATCTTTAAGGGCTAAGATTGCGTCGGTTCTGCGTTTTTCGGTTGAAAAATGAGCCGCCTCGCAATTTGATGAGGGGTAGGATTAACCGCTGTTCAGAGTTGGCCCGGAGGAGCCCACAACACAATGACAGGGTAAGCGCATACTGTGAAGCGGTGGATCCCCAGAGAACGCCTCTTGTATCCATCTTCCCGTGAATGATATCTCGTCTGCCTACAACAAGGGCATACCAGCGGCGAGGACAACAGATTCTGGGACATCAACCATCACGCTCCAACGACGATGCGCATTTTCGATAGAAGCCAAACGTTCATCCCAAACATCTCTGCCAATTCAAAAAAAAAAGCTCTTCTCATTAATTCTTTGTCTGCTGTAAGGTCATGTCCATGATCTTTCGCCGTTGCACGGGCCTGTGGTTCGATCAAGCCTTCCTAGCCCGTCTCACGCAGCAGCGCAATGGAGGACATGGTCGACGCCGCGTCCGACGACGCCAACCTGGGTCGAAGCGTCAAACGCCAGCCGCGCCGTGAAGCAGCACATCGCTCAGGCTATCCACGCGGCTGAAACGGTTACGTTCCGAGTCTTGAGGGCTACTCGTGTGTAACAACCGCCAACCTGTAGTGAGTGAGTGACTAAATGCGTCGATATCAACTCATTCCACCCGTGCAAGACATAGGTAGCATTTCAATCCCGAAAAAAGGTCTTTCATGCTCCTCTACCATCGCAGCAGTCTTCTCCTTTCAAGGGCCGACTTAAATAACCCTCTCCCTCCCTCCCTCTCTCCCTCCCTCTCTCTCTCTCTCCACACTCCCACTCACGAAGCCGTACTCTCCAACAACCCAGCCGCAACCGTGTTCCCCTCACTCCTCAACACGACCCTCGACGGCGGCTCCAGCGGCACCGCCTGCGTCAGCTCGACCACGACCCTCGCCACCGCGCCCGGCTGCACGATCCTCGGCCTCTTCTTCGCCACCTCGCCGCTCGCCTTGTCCAGCACGGCCTCGAGCCTCGTCACGCGCGCGCTGACGTTCAGGCGGCCCTTGAGCACGTCGACGTACATGGGCGTGACGTGCTCGAACGCGAGGATCTTGCAGGTGAAGGAGCGGATGTTCCTGATCGGCGACGACGCGTGGCAGACGATGTCGCCGACGCGCAGGTGCTGCGGGTCGATCTCGGCGAGGTGCAGCGTGACGATCTGGCCGGCCACGGCCCAGTCGGCGGGCTCGCCCGTGTTGTTGTCGATTTCGATGCCCTTGATGAAGGCCGTCTCGGCCGAGGGCATGACGACGAGCTGGTCGCCGACCTGGAGGCTGCCCGAGTCGATGCGCCCGGAGATGGACAGCGGGTTCGTGATGCCGCCGCGGAAGACGTCGCCGACGGTGAGGCGGAGCGGCTTGTCGATGGCGCGTTTGCTGGGCTCCGAAGCCTCCAGTTCTTGGACGAGGGTGGGCCCGCTGTACCAGGAGGCGAGTTCCGTGGGTGCGGGTTGGACAATGTTCTCACCGGTGAGACCGGCGCACGGGACGAAGGCAATGTTCTTGGCCTGGAAGCCGGCCGTCGTGAGGAACGCGGACATTTGTTGGGAGATCTCATCGAAGCGCTCCTTTGACCACGAGGTGGTGTCCATTTTGTTGACGGCGACAATGAGTCGCTGGACGCCAATGCTACGAGCAAGTAGCGCGTGCTCCTTCGTTTGCCCTCTCAGACCGGATTCGAAACTGTTAGTGCTGGCGTCAATGACGAGCACCGCAAAGTCCGCCTGACTTGCTCCTGCGATCATGTTCGGCACGAAGTCCTTGTGGCCTGGCGCGTCGAGAATCGTGAACCTCGTCTTCTCCGTCTCGAAGGTGTTGGTTGCAATATCGACGGTAACGCCTCGCGACCGTTCCTCTGACGTTTCGTCCATCACCCAGGCTAATGCGAACGAGGACTTGCCGATATTTTGTGCTTCTTTCCGCAGCTTATCCACAGAGCGCTGGTCAATGACCTTGAGGTCATACAGCAAACGGCCCATAAGAGTACTCTTGCCATGGTCGACGTGGCCTAAGACATGGGTTTGGTTAGTCCAGTCTGCTACATACCTCCAGCTATCATCGGAAGCGATATGGCATCGCCGAAGCATGATTTTACTTACCGATGACGACAAAGTTCGCCGACTTCTTCATATTCGACTTTTCGTACTCCTCAAGGACATTCAGGTTCTTGCTCTTCACCCGTGGAGCCTCGTCGATCTTAATCCCCTCTACACCTTCGGCAAGGCCGCCGGCCTCATCCTTAGACTTGGAGTCCTTCGCTTGAGTTTGCTTCTTATTGGCACCTGCTCACATTAGTCGCCCGGTTTGGTCCAGGATCATGCGCGGGTCGCACCTTTCGTCTGTGCGTTCAAAACGACATCATCTGGGCTTGGACCTGCGAAGGGTTTGGCTTTAGCATACTCCGGGTACGACGTGTACGGCAACATAAACATGGGATTATCGAGCTGTCCTCCGGGCCTGGGACCAAACATTGAACTCGCAAAGGTGGACGGGGCGCCCAAAACGTCCTCGAGTTTGACCCTTTTGGCGGCTGGCTGTTCCTCTGGCTCTGGCTGGAGTTCGGGCTGGCTGACTGGCTCCTCACGGGCAGGGCTGGGGCTTTTTTTCCTACGAGTGGGATATGCTCGGTGTGTTGTTTGCGCTTTGGCTTCCCCATCCGTGTTTGTCTTCTCCGTGAGTATGCTCGATTCGGAAGACTGTCCCTCAGGTGGCGCCTCGGTCTTTGTCTTGAGCCTGTCCAAGAGGGCGATGGCCTTATCCGAAGCTGGCTCTCCCACATGGCCAGTTGATCCAGACGTGGTCGCCTTGGCCTCCTCTTGCTTCTTCTTGCGAGCAGCAGCCAAAGCAGCCAGCTTCGAAGGCTTGGATGAACCACCCAGCAGATAACCCCGTGGAGCCGTATATGCCTCCGATAGCCTCCCTTGACGATGGGCGGGAACGTTGAGCCAAGGAGTATCGGAAAAGAAATCCGCAGACGACTGACCAGTGCGCATGGTCGGAAGGAACATGGGTAACGGGAAGGCCACAGAGGGGTCTGTTTCGCGTGATCTCTTAGATGGGAGTCCTCGTAAAGGCATGGAGTGGTGTTCAAGGCCTTACATGGTACGTGTATCCGAAATATTTACATGACGGCGGCTGGAGGACAGCTCTGGGCGGGAAGGTGGACAGGCGAGAGACAGTACTCACCAGTGGCTTTCTTCGGCTGCGTCGCGGAAGCGGCTCCTGCTGCCTGGTCGAAGCGAGAGGGCTGCTTGGGCTTCTTGGGTTGCGCGGGCTTGTGGGCGTCTATGCGGGCGTCAACGGGAGCGGCGGGAGATGGACTTGAGGACGTCTCACTCTTCAGATAGGTGACGGACTTGGCGATGTCGTAGTAGTAGTTCCAGAGCGCCTCCTCTATCTGCTTGTTCGAAATGTTGGAGTACTCGGGACTCAGCGCTTCCCTGACCTTTATGGTACCCTGGCGCATTTGCTCTGGTGGGCGGTGGGATCAGTCGGGCGCGGCGCGAGCAGGGAGCGGATGCGCAAACCTTTGTCCTCCTCGGTCAACTCTGCGGGAGTCGATGGTCAGCATGGGCCGACCAAGTTCTGAATGTAGTATGCCGCCAAACCTTCTTCGCCTTCGTCATCATCATATTGGTCGTAGACGTCGTCGTCGTCATAGGCGATGTCTTTGACTCTGCGGTGAGACATGGTGGTGGCTGTTTCGGCAGTCAAGTCGCGTGGGGAGGGTCTCGAGGCGCGTGGAGTCGCGGATGCTGTGCTGTAGAAGGTTGGTGTCGCGGCGTGGAGATTCAAACAGCGCGGGGCCTGATAAAGTGGTGGGGCGCGGTCATCGTCATTCAATGAATTCGCTTAGCCGGCCTTATCGATAAGGAACCAGCTTACGTTTATATAGTCACAGCTTTGGTTCGCTTTATCCATGGTCAGACTGGATGCATTACCAGCACGGCTATTGGACCCTCCATTCATTCTGTTAGAGCGCTGTTAGCCAGCTGGCTGTGCACTCGATTCTTGCTTGCCAGTGCCCGACGACTGGACGGACCGACCTGATCTCCCTGATTTCTCTGCACCATCATGTCGAAGACATTCATGAAACAGGTGCAGTGCCAGACCGGCCGTCGAGACCGTTCCATAGAGGAGTGATGTATGCTCGTCCGGGTACGCTACGGTGGTATTCTCCTACGAGCTGTGCTGGTCCACGGCCTTGGCTTGCGCCTCAACATGCGGGGTACCGTTAAAACTTCCTTCCAGACGACATCAGGGTCCACTCAACAATGAAAATGACGATGCCACGGTAACTAAGCTTGTGTCCACCTCCCGAATGAGGCAAAGTGGGTAGGGCGGTGGGCATGGCAGCGACGATCTCTGCGCGGCGCGACTCTAATAAACCCTGTGTGCTGGTCATGCGCCAAGCCACGTGCATCCATACAGAAGCGTTTGGTTCGGCTCTTCTTCACCCACGCCGTTCGGGCAGATCTCGCCGCCCAACATTATTTTGTTATTTTTTTTTTCGCCGCCCAGTTTTGCACTGGTGCCCCACGTGGCGTTTTCGGGGCCCAAATTTCGGTCCGGTCAAGTGACCTCTGTTGTCTGAAGAGTGTACCTAGCACTTGCTACTTCGGGGTTTGTCGAGCTGTAGCAACAGCAGGGCCACTGGCAGTCAAAGGTTCCACCTATGTCTGTACCAAGTAGTTGTCCAACATCCTTTCTTTGTGGGATCAGAGATGGAGAAAGACGATCTGAAAGCAACTCAAGACTGGTTGGGGCGAACGACATCGAACATGTCCATGAGCCGAACGAACGAGACCCGAGCGGCCCGCTGCGGATCAGGAGTGCGAGCCGCTCCCGCTTGGAGGCCTTGACATTTGTAAACACCGGCGCGAAGTCTTAGATTCGTCGACTCAACCTCAAACAGAGCACTTGACTTAGACTCTAGTAAACTTGGTGGTGATGGTGTGTTCTTTTGTCTAGGCTCCACGATGCTGACGTCGGATACTCTTGAATGCCGAGACTATTTTACTTGTGCCCAGACTCGTCTTCTCACTTAACACTGACCTTTCTGATCTTCGTCGTTCCCTTTCCTTCGTTTGCTTCTTGAAACACTTTGGCCTCTTCTTGATACATCCGCATGCGCTCTTTGTGGGCTTGGATTCTCTTTATAAGCTCTTGGCGAGCAATTGCCATGCTGGGAGGGTTGGGGAATTTCGAGCCGTACAAAGCGAACAAGAGTACCGATTGCATAGTCCAATGCGCATCGTTGCCAGCGTTGTGAAGATATTGGGGCTCTTCTCCGAGAGCAGCGGCGAGTTTCGACAGAGATTGCGGCAACATAAGATCTCGAGCGAGCCGCTGAGTATCAACGAGGCCCACGAGCTGAGACATACTGGCGCAGGGGTAACCAAGTTTTTCCATCCATTTGATATCCCCTGCCACAGCATGGCCGACCAGAACGACGTTACGGAGCGAATCCTCTCCGGATTGTGGTGCACTCTCATCTGGTTGGACGAAAAACGACTTGAAGACGCCCGACATGCCGTCTAAAGCCACGATCTTGCTCTGACCAAACTGAAACTTGTCGGGGCAGCCACGGACGAATCTGCTATTGACATGGCTCTGGTGCTCCTTGATGATGATGTGTTGAGTGCGAATTTGGTTGATCCAGTCGAGAGGCGTAGCGGGAGTGGAAAGCAATGCGCGTGAGTCCACTACGGCAATCCCAACTTCGGTGACTTTTGTCGCATCACGTTCCCACGCCTCAACGTCGACCGCAATGAAGATTGGATCGTAAAGTGGAGTGCTTTGAGACGGTGGATCGGTATTGTCATCGATTCCAAGATATTTGCGCAAACGCCTAAGTGAGACTGGACCGATCGTTCTGGGCCCGACTGATATTTTGCGCACTGCCACTTGCGACGACGCCATGTCGGGTGAGCCAGGAGAGTCTTCCGCTGCCTTTTGCGACGACGCCATGTCGGGTGAGCCAGGAGAGTCTTCCGCTGCCTTTTGCGACGACGCCATGTCCGGTGGGCCAGGAGAGTGTGCCGCTTGGCTTGAACCAGGCACGTGCATCATCCGTCGACCCAAGCGCGGTGCTGAGTGGTGAGAGGGGATAGCGGGCGTAAATCCGGTGACGGAGCGCGGTATCCTGGTCGGGGTGATCTTGAGCGCCACTCCATGATGTAGACGGCGCATTGGGAATGCAGTGCTTCATGGCCAGGCCGAACAGGAAGCCGACGTGCCAGTGGAGTTCTGAGAGAAACGCCGGGTCGGAAAAACGACCGGAGCCGAAGTGCCGGCACCGTCTGCACCCAGCAACTTCTGACGGCCGTTGACGTGGCGGGTCCTGCCTACCCCTGCATCATCAGGAAAAGGCGGATCTCGCCACGCCACGACGCCACGGCGCTGTCCTCACTTACCGGTCGCGTCGAATGGAACCGCTACCCATCCGGTCCCGGCAGAGGGCCAGTCTCCAAGCTCGTCTCCAAACGCAGGTGGTAGGGATTGCTGCTAAATTTACACTTCATCGACATCCTCATTCGCTCATCTCTTCAGGCACGGGCCCGAGCTGATCCGCGCGAGCTGTCAGCATCAGGCACACAGGCACAGGAATTCTCGTTCGGATGAGGCTGCGCCATGATTATGCGACACCCATTGCATGATGCAAGGGCGCCCGGGAAAGAGCCCGCAATTGAGCCGCGCCAGCACGACGCCCTCGGATCAGCACCGACCGGTCTCGGACGCGCTTCCGTCGGCGACGAGGTGGAGCCAGCAGTGCCTGAGAAGAAGCAGCCAGAATGGCGACCGCACACCGGACCCTGACGGCGTGCAGGCCCAAAGCACTAAGGTTCTCCTGCAGGATTCGGCCATCTTTGATGAGGCTTGGTGTGCTGTGGACGATGACATGCACCAGGGTAGGGGGTCCCTGCCTGGTCCTGCCTGGTCCTGCCTGGGGATGCCTGGGGCAGCGGTGGGGCCTGGGGACGGAAGGCTTGACGAGCAGCGGGCAGTGGCTGCGGCAGGCGCTGGCGGGCGCTGGCAGGCGCTGGCAGGCGCTGGCAGGCGCTGGCAGGCGCTTATTACGCACACGCCCTGACGAATTGGCAGCCACGCAACAGAAGTCAATCTCCTGCGAAGCCAGCGTTCCTGTTGTCCAAAGATGACTGGCAGCGCGATCTGCTTCGGCTGAGCGGCGGGCCTGGATCTTGGAACGGTGCAGGCTGGATGGGGCTTGCGGCGCGACAATCCCATCCGAGCGCATGCTCCCCGCGGCGAATCAGCCGCGCGAACCTCGTTCTGTCCAACATTCGACCAGAGTCAAGCTCGGCCACGCCGCCACGCCGCCGCGCGCCACGCGCGCTTTTATTGCCGTGCGCCGCCAAATTGTCCGTCTGCGAAGGCGCCCAGCTCGAGGCTCCCAGGGCAGTAGCACGCGACGCCAACGTCTTTGGCTCACGTGCGCCGGTTTAGAGACTGCGGGGCCTAGCGCTGTGATCTCCCACTAAGCTCCGCACCCATCTGACGCTTCCATCTCCTCCCCCGCGCCAGGCACCAGAGCACCCAAGGGTGAAGGCACTGCGCTGCCTTTGCGCTGCCTTTGCGCTGCCTTTGCCGCCGACTTCGCCCGGCCACGCATGCGCCGTCATGCAGCCTTTGTCATGGCGCTGCACGCTGCCCCGATCGCCTGACGCAGCTGAACCCTGCCGCTGCATCCAGGTGGAGATCTCTGTGTGTCCTGCCAAGGTTCTGCTCATGGCTTGCGTATTGCCATCCAACGCCCGCCGAACCCCTGGCCCTGCTAGTCATTCGTTCTGTTGATTTTCGGCACCATCGGCCTTCGTCCCCCCGCCCGCCACGGCCGCTATTGCACCATGGCAATACTGTCGCCGGCCTCCAAGTCAGCAGACGCGGCCTTCAATCCACAGATCGCCCGCCATCACGCGGCCCGACCAACGTGTCAGACGCCGCCGAGTCCTGATCACTCTGTGCGAGCATGCGCTCTGTCACACAGCCGCACGCTTCAGCGTTACACCCGCTCCGACCCGCAGCACTGCGTGCTATGCTGTCACGGCGGTTCCATGTCCGCCTGTGGGGAACACTGCCTCCTTCTTTCCGAATCCTTGCCCAAATGCTCTATCTCACCGAGCCCGGCCCCTATCCCGCCGCTGGCGGCCCGCTTGCTGCCAAGTCTCCGTCCTCGCCCTGCCCGCTGTCCTAGTCCTGGGTCCCTCCATCCTGTTCACCGCTGCTCGCCCCGGTCGCCCGCCGGCGTGGTGTGCCACCTCTGCCATGACCGGTGAGCTTGCACACTTTGCATTTACCCACTGTTCATGTGGCCCCGTCCCACCCCAGACTTACACAGAGCCACTATTCCTCTGCCAAGCGCGGAGACGTCGGCTCGGGCGTTGTGCCCGCAGCCTTGTCCTTTTGGGCAACCCTCGGGCCATGTGCTAAGAGAGTGGCGTCTTTGTGGGTGGCATTCGTCGAGGCCATGAGACTAGATTCCATTGACACCCTGCACATCAGGACCCTGACATCATGTGTTGTGGTCTCTGGGTCCGTTCATTGGCGCCAATACTGCCTGCTTACCCATGCAATCTCCGCTCCCTACCTCCTTCTTATAAGAATGCCTGTCGCCCTGTAAAATACACCTGTTCCTGACCATCACCTACCTTCCCCGGTCTGGACGTACGCACCATGTTACCCTTCTACCTCCTGGCAACCTGCTTCGCAGGCTTTGTTTCTGTGCAGGGCCAGTCCACCTCTGCTTTCAACCCTGCTCGTCCGCCGGCTCTCCCCCTTGCCGTCAAGTCACCTTACCTCAACACCTGGCTGAATGCCGGCAGTGATGGCGGCAACGGAGGCTACCTTGCCGGCCAATGGCCGGTGCACTGGAGGTTTGTCCGGCGATTTCAGTGACAGCTGTAGCTCGGTGCTAACGTCTGTATGCAGCAACCAAATCACCGGGTGGGCCGGTATGATCAGAGTTGACGGAACCGCCTACAAGTGGATGGGCGACCCTCTGGCCGCCGAGGGCCCAGCCGTGGTCACGCAGAACTCCTATGAGTACACTTCTACCAGAAGTATTTTCAACATGGACGTCGATGGCAAAGTTGCTATGAACATCACCTTCCTCTCGCCCATCACCCCTGATGACTTCCAACGGCAATCTTTGATTTTCTCCTACCTTAATGTCGAGGTCACGTCAATCGACGGCGCGGAGCACGACGTGCAGCTCTACTCGGACATTACCGCAGGTGAGCAACGGCCTCTGCCTTGTCAACATTTTATCATTTGCGCTGACAGTACTTGAAGAGTGGGTCACTGGTGACCGGAGCCAGATTGCTGAGTGGGAGTACGACACTGCAGATGGTTTGGCGTACCATAAAGTGTACAGGCAGACGCAGCAAGCCTTCTCCGAAAATGCGGATCAAGCCGAATGGGGCAACTGGTACTATGCGACTGACGCGGTTGATGGCATGACTTTCCAGTCTGGCGTTGACAACGACGTCCGTGGAGCATTTGCAGCCAATGGCACGTTGCCAAACACCAAGGACACCAACTTCCGTGCTGTGAACAGCGACTGGCCCGTCATGGCTTTTGCTGTGGATCTCGGCTCTGTCAACTCCAACGCCGTCAACACCCTGTTCACTCTCGGCCTCTGCCAGCAGGATGCCGTCCAATTCGCTGGCTCGGATGGCTATCTTCCCCGTCCTTCCCTGTGGACCGACTACTTCAGTGATGATGTCGCAGCGGTAAGTCATAGCACGTTGCTCAATTACGTTATACGATCAATCTTGTGTCGTAATTTTACTTTATCTCATCCATCATATGCATCGCTAACACCAAAATAGCTCAGCTTCTTCCACAAGGACTACAGCACTTCTTCCGACAAGTCTACCGAGCTGGACAACAAGATTTCCAGTGATGCCATTGCTGCCGCCGGCCAAAACTACCTCACCATCACTTCGCTGTCTGTCCGCCAAGTGTTTGCCTCTATCCAGCTCGTCGGCACCCAGGACAAACAATGGATTTTCCTGAAGGAAATCTCGAGGTATTTCATTTTTAGTCGTGTTCCTAAAAACACAAGATAATGGCTGACCGTTCGTTTCTAGCAATGGTAATATGAATACTGTTGACGTCATATTCCCTGCTCATCCACTGTTCCTCTACACCAACCCCGAGCTGTTGAAGTTGGTCTTGGCACCATTGTTCGAAAATCAGGAATCCGGCGCGTACCCCAACGACTACGCCATACATGATATGGGCGCTCATTACCCGAACGCCACCGGGCATCCCGACGGTGACGACGAGCCAATGCCCCTGGAGGAGTGCGGCAACATGCTTATCATGGTGTTGGCGTACTACCAGCGTACCCAGGACCTTGACTACTTGAACACGCACTACGATATCCTTCGTCAGTGGACCACGTTCCTGGTTGACGAGGCTCTGTACCCCAACAACCAGCTTTCAACCGATGACTTTGCTGGTACCCTTGCGTGAGCCACCCTGAATTCCACAGATTCAATATTCGTGCAGTTTAAACTAATCGCGCACCTCGATTTAGCAACCAGACGAACCTGGCCCTCAAGGGCATCATTGCCATCGAGGCCATGTCTAAGATCGCCGACCTGACCAGCCACGCCGACGATGCTTCCACAGACCATGACACCGCGACAAACTACATCGCCGAATGGCAGAAGCTTGCTGTGGTTGCAGAGAGCGGTGACACGCCTGCACACACCAACCTCGCATACGGCGATGCGGGCTCTCACGGTAAGTTTAAAATTAAACTCTTCGAGCCACCCAGCCACCCGGCAAGCCTCCCGCCGCCTGGCGGCAGCTGGCAGGGCGCCATGGCAACCACACAAACGCCCCCACAAGCCCATGTCAGCCGGGCCCGTACCCGAGACACGCAGCCCCAGCTCGCACAGGCCAGAAAAAGAAAAAGAAAAAAAACAGACGCAGAAACAAACCGCACGAGAATGCAAGCCCGAGACGCTAACGCAATGCAATGCACAGGCCTGCTGTACAACCTGTACGCCGACAAGGAGCTTGGCCTGGACCTCGTGCCGCAGGAGATCTACGAGCAGCAGAGCGCCTTCTACCCGACGGTCGAGCGCACCTACGGCGTCCCGCTCGACACGCGCAACTCGTACACCAAGACCGACTGGGAATTGTTTGTCGCCGCCATCGCCTCGGCAGAGACCCGCGACATGTTCCACGCCGACGTCGCCAAGTGGATCAACGAGACCCCGACAAACCGTGCATTGACCGACCTCTACGAGACGGAGACTGGAGAGTGAGTTTTGTTCTTTGCCCCCTCCCTTGCTTTCGGTTTGACGAACGACCGACACCCTTGCGAACCACCCCCGGCTGACAATGATACTTTGCTGCAGCTACCCGAGCGGTATCACCTTCGTCGCGCGCCCGGTCATGGGCGGCACGTTCGCGTTGCTGGTGCTGTGAGCGTCGAGACCAGCATTTTAATTCTTTTTCACCCTTCTTGCCGTTACGACCCCCTTTTTTTTATTGTACGAAATGAATCCCCTGTCTCCGAGATGGAACGCTGGGAGAAAGAAGCTCACTCGCTTGATGACTTAATGTGTACATATTATATACCACGAACGCCTCCTCCCAGTACAAATCACGATTTTACGACGGGAGGGGTTCGTTTTTTTGTTTGACTAGAGGTCCGGGGGAGCCACCGCCACGCCGTCTTTCTCATTTCTTCGACGCTGGTGGTGGGCTCTAGACATAAGAAGAAAGAGGAAAGAGGCGGACTGGGAAGGATAGACTCATACAATATTCTTTCTTCTGCACATATTGCTAGTTCGCGGTCCGCTAACGAGAGTCTGCGTTCTCTCCTTCCCTCTTGGAAGAGGTAGGGGAAAAAAAAGGAAACAAGGTCCTTTGCGTCCTCATGTACACTTCGGACGCATCCACTCTTTCTTCAGCACAGGACAACGATTTCAAAGCACGACACAGGAAACCCCACCTCCTCAATCGACGCAATACACTGATACGTCCACCCACACTTCTACTGACACGTTTTTTCCTTCGTCCAGAGATGAACTGACTATATACTACATCCGGACGTACCCATATGGATTCGAAACTCGCGTCCGCAGGTAGTCGAATCTCATACCCCGACGTATTTGTACGGATTTAAAACCCATATATGCGTCCAGCTCCGTTCTTCAACCACTCACGTCCAATTTCCCCCCCCCCCCCCTCGAATGAGCGGTAGACGTGCGAGATACATGGTCTTATATAAAGATTCCATATAGCGGGCGCATACTATTACCAAGTTTCTTTACAAAAATGCCCCAACAGTAGATTTCTCATCCTCCTCCTTTTCAAAGATAGTAGTTCCGTCTCTCATATTGCAGATAAACAACCCCCCCACCAAAAAAAGCACCACCCCAGTACATAAACCTAAGCAGAGCAACCCCGTTTTTATTTAGAATATACAAATTCCTCTCTCTTCTCTTCGCGCGGTCCACATTACGGGTAGTCATCCAATCTGGTATCTGAACAGTATCAATGAGACAAGACAACAAGCACAAGGAGACACAACAACGCGACGGAAACAAACCAAACAGAAAAATCTCCGGTAGGAACCAACAAACAAACAAAAAAAAAGGACATGACCGCGGAAGCCTGGTCGGGTTACTGTATAGAACCTCAACAACCAAGTCAAGCAAAAAACCCATTAGGGACAGCAAGTGACCGATAACAATAAGAACGCTGCCGCCCTCCCAAAGCTCTTTTCCCCTCCTCTCTCTCATTCTTTTTGTTTTCCCCTCCTCCTCTTCCCTCACAAACATCAACAAGACCGACCCCCTCCAGAAAAGAAAGAATACAAACCTCTCCCCCCCCCCTTCCAAGATAACAAAACAAAAACGAAACGATAAAGCGAACAGCCCTGTCCCCAGCCCCCAGTCCCCAGCCCCTCAAACCGACAGACAGACAGACAGACCGACAGACAGACCGACCGACTCATTCACTCACTCACTCACCTCACTCACCCCCCTCACTCATCCACCTGATCAGCCCAGCTCTTCTTCTCGCCCGTCTCCGGCCCCAACACGGCACTGAGCCCGAAGCTCTCAACCCGCTTGGGCGGATCGGGCCTATCCCCGTCGCCGGCGGCGCCATTAGTCGCATCCGTCGACGGCGTGGAAGCGGTAGCCGCAGCGGCAGCAGCCGCCATGGTCTTCTTGTTCGGGAACGAAAGCTGTGGGGCGGCCGCGGCAGCGTTATTGGACGACGACGAGGGGGAGGAGGCAGCCGACGCCGCGGCGGGGAGGTCGGGGAAGTCCGCGGCGGCAGGAGGATGACTCCGTTGTTGCTGGTGGTGTTGTTGATCTCCCGCGGGCGCGTGAGAGGATGACGACACCCTGCGTCCACCACCACCTCCTGCTCCGCCGCCATGGTGGTGGTCGCTTCCACGTCCGCCGCCGCCGCCGCCGCCCCTCCCTGCCCCTCCGCCCCGCCTACCACCGCCGCCGCCGCCGCCCCGCCTTGAGCTACTCCGGCCGCCGCTGCCGCCACCCGAAGGAGCGTGTGGGACGGGCCCGTTGGCCCAGCCGTCCGCGAAGCCGTCCTCGGCGTCGTCCGCGGCCTCCGCTCCTCCGCCGCGCCTCGACGACGAGCTGCGCGTAGCGGTTGCAGGGCCGGTGACGCCGCCGTAAGCGCCGCGCCTGGCCTGGCGGCCGTTGCGGTCGTGGCTGTTGCCGGTGCCGGTGCCGCCCGTCGTGCCGGCGCCGCCGCCAAAGCCTTCGACCTCCTTCTCGGCGTCCCACTCGCGGCCCGAGAGGGCGTTGAGCTTGCGCTGGCGGTTGCGCTCGCGCTCGCCCATCATCTGCTGGCGGTTCTGGCGCTCGTGCTTGGCGCGGGCGCGGGCCTTTGCCGCGGCCTCGGCCTCGCGCTCCTCGAAGCGCGCCTGGTCCGCCTCGGCGCGCGCGTGCGCCGCCGCGAGCGACGCGTTCTTGAGCTTGATGGCCGACATGCGCTCCGCGAGCTCTTCTTCGGTGAGCTTGGCCTGGTTTCGCAGAGGGGGAGGTTAGGCAAAAGTGGTGGCTGTTGGACGACAGACAGGTTCTGGACGCTCGAGTGTTGTTGGTTTGGGGATTGGGGGTGGGAGGGTGGGAGAGAGGGGATGTATCAACCGGATGTCGATGATACTATACACCCGCCACATGCTCGACCAGCACGCCATCATGCTGGGGGAAAGGTGCAGTGGAGAGAAGAATAGCAAACACATAACGTACCTTCTTCAAACCGCCCGTAGCACTCCTATCGCCTCTTACAGCACCATCCTTCTTCGGTCCTTTAGGCGGCTCCTTTTCCAGAGCTCCCTCCGCGCCCGCACCCTCACCCTCTTCGTGCTCGTTCTTCGCCGGAGCCTCCCCGTTCGCCTCTTTCTGCTGTGGCTGCTGCTGCTGCTGCTGCTGCTGCTGCTGCTGCTGTTGTTGTTGCCGCCGCTGCTGCTGTGCATTGGGCGCGGCACCCGGCTTCCTGTTATCCGGCGCATGCTGCGACGCGCCCAGCAACCCGCCCCTATTCCTTTGATTGCCACCGCGGCCGCCACCGCGTCCGCCCCTCACATTGTTCCTTCCAGCACCTTGTTGTTGTTGGTGTTGCTGTGCTCGCGCCTGGTGCTGCTGCTGGTGTGCATTCGTCTGCTCTTGCTTCCGCACCGCCTGCTGCTGCGGTGGAGGCGCCGGCGATGCTTCGACCGCAACAGCAGCAGCAGCAGCCGCGGTGGCATCAGCTTCCGGCGCCACCGCATCATCGTCATGCGGCGGCGCCGCAACAGCAGCTTCGCCAACAGCGGCAGCCGCGGGTTGTGACGACGGTATTTGCGGATGCGCTTGCGCTGCCGTCGCCGCCTCCTCCTCGTGCTCGTGCTCGAGCTCGTGCTCGTGCGCGCCGTTGTCGTCGTCCTCGTCGTCCTCGTCCCTTCCTCCTCCTACTGCGTGTTCGTCGTCGTCGTCGTCGTCGTCGACGGCCGGCACGATCAGCTCCACGACCGGCTCCCCGGCCACCGGCGTGAAGTCGTCGTCGAACAGGTCGTCGTCCTCGCGCGTCTGCGCGAACTCGTCTACCATGGGGTCGGGGCTGTAGAGTCCGCCGCCCGTGACGGGAGCGGCAGCAGCTGCGGCGGCGGTGTCGACCGTGTGCGGCTGCGTAGTAGTAGCAATAGTGGTCGCGGCATCGTCGCCGTTGCTGTTCGTTATGGTGGACTGCTGTTGTTGCGCGGATGCGGATGCGCTGTCGCCGTCCTTGGCGGGATCTGGTGCCGACGCGGTCGTGGAATGCGTCTGCGGCGGTGGTGGCGGCGATGCGGCTGAGTCCAGCTGGTCGGACGCAGCCTCCGACTTGGCCCAGCGGGAAGCGAGCATGGCGTGCTTGGGAAGAATCAAAGAAGGTTCCTTTTGGTTTGCTAGATGGACGAATCGATCGGAAAGGGGGACTCGATCTTGCGATGTCGTGGGAAAAATGTGTGGCGCAGAGGTTTGCGGGGAAAAGAGGCGGGTTGGATCAATGCGTGTTGTTGATGGCCTGGAGATTTGGACGCACGGCCCTCGCGGCTCCGAGCTTCTGCACGGAAGTCCCTGCTGCTTCGGGCGGGCGGTGAGTCGGCCTTTCCGCAGACACTTGCATATCCCTGCCATGCAACTGCTGGTCCCGGACTCAGACGATTGAATTTAGCATGCTGTTCTGCCGACGGCTCGATAGATGCAGTTTGATAAATGGCAAATGTCATCTCTATTTCATACTGCGTTCTATGTTCCGCATCCAAAAATCCCGGACCCCATATATATATTTTGCAAACGCTCATTACCCATTCTTTTTCATCCCATCCGTAGATAGCGATAGTGGTATCAACAAATCAATAAGAAGCCGTCAAGTTCATGCTTTTTCTAAATTCAACCGCGCAGGCGCTGAACAAGGGAGATCAGGTGCTGCTTGGTCTCGTCCTCGAGCTGATCCTCAGGCGGGCCGAGCACCTTCTCGAAGACCTGCATCAACTGAGGAGTCAGCTGCTGCATGAGCTGCTGGATCTGGGGCTCCTGGACACCGTCTGGAATATTCTATCAGTACGCTGCTCACAAAAACAACGGGCACGTTGCACTTACAGAGCTTCATCAACATGGTGTACACGGGCTGGTTCTCGTCAAAGTCCTCACGGAGAGGGAGGAGCTCAACCAAGCGAGGAAGAACCTGCTGGAGAGGAACGTTCTCCGGGTGTCTCATAATCATGCGGCTGATGCAGCCAGCGGCGTTGTCAAGCATGCGCGCCTCCTGCTGCTCGTGCAGCATCGGCTCAAGCTTGGTGAAGATGGTCGGGAAGTTCTTAAGAACCTCCTGGACATCGTTAGACTTCTCGCAGAGCATGCCGACAGCGTACGCAGCGTTCGACCTGGTCTCCGGGTCCTCGTCCGACAGGCGGTGAACCAAGAGCTTCATGAGCGTGGTCGTGTAAGGAGTGACGGCACCACCCATGTTGCCGATGCAGTCCGCAATCGAGCCAACCGAGTTGCTGCGCTCGACAGACTCCTGGCCACTGGCGTACTTCAGGATCGACTTCTCGAAGATCTTCCAGAGCTCTGCAAAGCTCTCACCGAGAGCAGCCGACAGGCAGGTCACGCAGTCAAGCGCAACCTCAATGACGAGCCAGTCGTACTCCGACGATTCCTCAAGGGCCTCATCAAGCTCGTCCCCGAGATCCTGCTGGCAGGGGTGGCGCTTGGTGAGGATAGCGATGAGGTGGTTGGTGAGTTGCGGGATCACCGTGCCGTTCTGGTTGACCAGGATAGCGGGGCCAGTGAGCTTGAGGGTTGCGCCAAGGTCACGGCAGATATCGGTGACAGTGCCACTAAACGTCATGTCAGTCTTTTCCTTCCTGGAAATAGCTAGAAGACGCAGGGGATGGTTGTGTGATCAGAAACAGAATCGTGTTCACTTCAACCGCAACATTGTGCGTCAGAGTGAGCTGGGTAATAACGACTAGGTTGTCATCTTGTCGGAAAGGGGTTGTCGTTTGCATCAGAACAAAAGGAAATCGTGGCTTACCGGTCCATCTCATCCTCGAGAATCTCGAGGGTGGCGTTCATGGCTTCTTGAGCGAGCTTGGCAAGGTCATCAGAAGGCTGAACCTGAAGAGGAAGACCAGGCTTCCATTTGGCCATGCCCGAGCCCTCAGCCATGCCCCAAAGAGCGGCGTACGAACGCCAGAGAGTGCCGATGGCAGACTTGCGGACACCCTCGTAAGCGTGGTGGACCATCTTCAAGACAGCGTCAATCGTCCTGGCAAGGTAAGGTACGTAGCGGTGGCGGCAGGAGGAGATGACATCGCCAATGACCTCAACGGCGATCTCCTTCTCCATGGCGACGGCGGTGACAGCGTTGAGATCATCCCAATCATCGTCATCCTCGTCGTCCAGGTCAATGATACCATCATCCTCATCGTCCTCGCCAGGATCGGCGACCTTGATCTTCTTACCAGCAACAGTAACCTCCTGACCAATGAGGTCCTTGGCCTCCTCACCAAGAGCAACCTCAAGATCGGTCTCATCCTGCTGCAGGCACTTCAGGAGCCCCTCGACAACACCAGGAAGGAAAGATTCGAATTCCTCTTCGTAAACCTTAGCCATGGTGCTCCACAGGATGTAGCTGGTCTCGCGAAGGCGCGGGTGGTCAAGGTTAAGCGCCTCCTCCGAGGCCTGCATGAGACCCTGGACGTAGTCCCTGAAGGGGGCAGGACCGACGGCGCCGGCAATCTTGCCCATGGAATCGCAGACAACGCCGCGCAGATCAAGCTCATCCTGGCTGTCCTTGAGCTGAACGAAAGGAGCAAGAGACTGCATAGTGGCCTGGAAGAAAGGCAGGAAAGCGCCGCCAGCAGCGGCGGCAACAGACCCAACAGCGCCGACGGAGGCGATCTGAGTCTTGAAGTCCGACGAGTTGAAAAGGTTGTTGAACCTCGGGACGAGCTCAGCGACGTACTTGGCAGCGTCCTCCTCATCAAGGCCCTCGATCAGCGAGTCGATGGCATTGCAGCTGCCGCGCACGATCTCCAGTGCGCGGTCAGACTCAGGGCCCCGTGCAGCCTCCACGGCCATATCGAGGTTCTTGACAAGAGCAGGAACGAGCCTACCGTGCTCCTTGGCCATCTCCTCGGCCAAGTCATCGGCAAGCCGGGCGACACCATTCAGGGCGGCGGCGCGGACCTTGACCTCGGGATCCTCAAGGAGACGAAGGGTGAGGGGCAAGATCTCACCAAGCTGGGTAGCAATGAAGTCAGGAGCACCTTCAACGCACATTCCGAGGGCAAGGATACCGGCGCGTCTGTAGTCGGGGTTCTCGCTGTTGACGTAGCTACCCATGGCATGGAGCAGGGGAACAATGACCTGGTTGGGGGGAAGGCTCTGGGCAAGGATATCGAGAAGTCCAAGAGCGGAACGAGCCGGTGTGACCTCCTCGTCCTCGCTAGAAAGGTCGCCCAGCTCGGTGACGATTTGGAGGGCGGTGATGGTGAGCTTCTCGCCAAGCTTCTTCGCCGTAATCTTGAGCTTGCGGTACCGCACGCACTGCATGAGGAAGGCAAGCGCTTGAGAACGGGCGTCATCATCGATCTCCTGCTTCGCGCCAATGTTGTTCATGAAGTTGACGAGATCCTCGAAGTGCTTGTTCAGCAGGGCAGACTCGCAGCCGAGCAGGGTCTGGAAGACCTCGAAAGCCTGCATGGATTTGTCCTCGTCACCAGACTCGATGGTGTCCTGAAGGACCTTGACCATGCTGGGAAGAACGCCGTTGAAAAGCTCAAGAGAGTGCTCGTCCTCCTCAGGGTCAAGCAGCATGGCCACACGGCTCAGAGCCAACATGGTGTTGACGCGGACCTCGAGACTGGCGGGGTCGTTGATGGTCTGGCCGAGCAGGTTGAAGAGCTCCCCGAAGTTTTCGGAGAACATGTCGCCCATGGTCTCGACAAGGGTGTAGATCATGAAGACGGCGACCTCACGGTGCCTCGCGACGTCGCTTCCGGCAGCCTGGTGCAGCGTCTGGGGGAGGTCGGCCCACTGTCCATCCTCCAAGTCCTTTTTGGCGATGGCGGCAACAACGCGGGCAGACGAGTGGCGGACGAGTGTGACTTCCTGGTTCATGGTCGACTGGAGGAGCTGGTTGCGGATCTCAGGCTTCTGCTGCTCAGGCAGGCTGGCCCAGTGCTTGTTGACCAGCTTCCTCGCCTCAACGGCGGCAAGCTGGCGCAGGGCCTGATCCTCATGAGAAACGAGGATCTGGAGAAGGGTGGTGAGAGCCTCGGGAGACTTGTAGTAGTCCTTGTTGAGCGTCGCGGTTGCGGCCTTGACACGCTCAGTGTCGGCTGTGCTGGTGGGTGAGCGGGCGCGGGCGCGGGGGGAAGGGGGCATTTACTTACGCAGCAGAAGGCTCTGGAGGAGCCCAACAAACTGTTGCTGGTCCATGGCGGGGCGACTGAGCAAGCGACACGGCCAGCAAAAGGAGGGGTATCAAAAAGTAAAGGGAAAGTGCGGACGCTTGAAAGGAAGACGGCGGTGGGGGGTTGATTATTTTTTTGACGCGGAAATTCTGCCACACGCCGAGGCTCACCGCCACCACGCGAAGGGTCTCGGCGGCACGGCTGATCTCTGCCATGCAACAGAGCGGAGCGATCTTCACTGGCTGCCAAAATTTTGCGCCGACGCGACGCGCTGGCCTTCTGCATCTAATTGGCCTACGCGCGTGGAAGGCCCGGTGCCAGCTCTCTGTTTTCCTGTTCTGTTCGAAGCAGGCGCGGTTTTGTTGTGGCAACCGCGACCAGAATTTTCAAGTCCGCGCTGGGGCGCCTATGAGATCATCCCGGCGGGACGCCGCTCTGCAAGGTCAATGCGCGTGTTCGAGCGTGTTGTATCTCGCAACCCGACATCCCGTACGGGCATGACGCGCCAGCTTGCACGTTTTGCGAACGTCCTGCATCGCGGGTCTGAAAATCACTAGCGCCCAGTGTAGCCGGGTCTGTGCTCTGCGATTGTTCATAGCTGCCTCGTGGCGCTGTGGGACGCGTTGTTATGGAGACCCTGGGCCACGCAGAAGTTCCCACAACTGGGTGCAGCATTATTTTCTTCCAAGCGCGTCCCAACAGTATCCGTTACTGGGTAAAGCTTCCAATCAGTCGCGTCGACCTGCAGTATACGATCGGCTGAGCTACAGCCACTCCTCTCGTCAACAAGGGGTTTGCAGTCTTAGGCAGTGCCCAAGGGAAATGGGCTACCAGGGTCAAATAAGTCCTTCGAAAATGATAGTTTATCAACGGTGTGCATGCTGCGTGTGCACAGTCCGGGGCAGCTCCCAGCGATTGAACGGGGCATGTATTTTCTAGGTAGTCAATCAGCAGCCACGGATGATGTTCCAACCGTGCACTGTTGTAAAACATTATGGGATACACATTATTTGAGCCGAGTTCCGCGTCTGCAGAATATCACTGCTCAATGGGATTGCTCCAAGACTTAAAGGAAACGTCGACTGGTTACTAGCACACCACAACTCTGCGTGTTATACTCCAAGTTCTCTGTTGAGCTGACACCGCCGGGACTTGGCTTCTTTATTCGATAACATACTCATAACGGCCCAGCCTACGATACAAACAAATATCATGTCTGCCAGCGACGCAGCGGCAAGGCATCGGACTGCTGCCTCAGGCTATGCAGCTGAGCTGTTCGAGCTGGCGTGGCTGGGCTATTCCATATGAGGCTAGCGCGATTCGATGGGCGGTCGTGCCTTCCAAAGCCAAAGATGCTCTGTCGCTGCTTTACGGCAAACTGACCTTAGACCACCCCTCCGCCGTCCCTCGTCATCTTGGCTCCCATCCTCCGGCCTTACCCCCCGCCATCTCTTCACGAATTTCTGCGGCCAAACAACCCCAGAATCCTCCGCTCAAGCTCCGGGACGCGCTTGACGGAACACCTCACCCCCGATACCTCGTGCTTTCGCCGCATCGAGCTCCGCACTCATGGCTGCTGTACGTAACGCGCGCGCGCTCACTTTTCTACGCGATGTCGTCGCTCGCCATGCCGCAGCTGATAATTGGTAGCAGCAAACACCCAACCAGCCGCGCGCCTTCAACGCTCCTTACCTGCCGAACGGTGGCCCAAACGTCGGCCCTACGCCTGGTGCCCAGCCTCTGCTTCCCAACCAAGGCCGCATCATTCAGACCCAGAATTCGAGAATCCTCTGCATTGCTGATGTCCGAGGCAAGTTTGCGCGCGTTGAGAGCTGCCAATTGCGTCGCTCGAGGCTGACAATCTGGCAGGCAACCTAAGATCTCTGAACGAGCTCGCCGACCAGGCGAGAGCTGACGCCATCATCCACACCGGTGACTTCGGATTCTACGATGATCGCTCGCTAGATCGCATCGCCGAGAAGTATGTCCGCACCTGCTGTGCGAGTCTGGACAGCCGCTGACACCCAACCAGGACGCTCCGCCATGTCGCCCAGTACTCGCCGCTTCTTTCGCAAGCTGTGAAGAACTCGATCGCGCAAGCCCCTCCGCAACCTCCTCTCAGGGAACGTTACGTTCGTGAAGGACTGAAGCTCTCGGAACTCCCGGACTTCCTCAACGGTACCTACAGCCTGAAGGTGCCCGTCTACACAGTCTGGGGCGCGTGTGAGGACGTTCAAGTTCTGGAGAAGCTGCGTTCGGGAGAGTACAAGATCAGCAATCTTCACATCATCGATGAGGCACACTCCCGACTGGTTGAGGCTGGTGGTATCAAGCTCCGCCTGCTTGGCCTGGGTGGTGCCGTCGTCATGCACAAGCTGTTTGACAATGGTGAGGGAAGGACGACCATCGCTGGTGGCCAAGGCACCATGTGGACGACACTGTTGCAGATGGGCGAGCTGGTCGATACGGCCAATCGCGTCTACGATCCCACGGAAACTCGCATTTTCGTCACCCACGCCTCACCCGCTCGTGAGGGTCTTCTCAACCAGCTCTCCGTCACCTTGAAGGCAGACTTCTCCATCTCCGCGGGCCTGCACTTCCGTTACGGTAGCTCTTACAATGAGTTTAGCGTGAACCCAACCCTGGACCACTACCGCGGCAAGCTTGCGGCTTCCCGCGCCTCGTTCAACGATGTCTGGGAGACTGTCAAGAGTGAGGTGGAGCCGGCCGTCTCGGAGAACACAAGCCAGCAGCAGCTGCTGAAATTGGCTCTGGATATCGTCGAGAAGATGCCCACGATTGCCAATGGCGGCAACCCGTTCGGAGGCCACGTTGGACCTGCGACGGGACAGATCGACGAGAGCGCGTTCAAGAACATGTGGAATTTCAACTTGGCAGATGCTGCCTACGGTTGGTTGGTTCTGGACATTGACCAAGGCAGGATCGGTACCGAAATGCGTGCTCAGGGTTTCAATTTCGCCCACCGTGGTGTGAAGAATGCTCCGCAGGGTCCGCCCTCTGCCTCGAATGCCGCACCCGCTCAGGCTCCCACCGGCCCTCAGCAGTCTCGCCCGGCTGCTGGCACTCCGGCGCAGTCGCAGCAGCCCAAGGCTGCACCTCAGCCTACTCGCTCGCCTGCTCCGGCCGTTCCCAATCTTCCAATCAAACCAGCTACCCCGAAGCCTGCCGCCACGCCTGGTACCGCAGGTACTCCCGCCGTAGGCAACGCGGAAAAGGGAACTCCCACGGAGACCAAGCCGAACGGAACCTCTGGCCAAGACAAGCCCGCTGAGTCGTCTGCACCTAAGCCGGAGCTTGGAAACGCGCGCCCTCCGGTTCATGGTCTTTTCATCACCAATGCCGGATCCGAAGACGACGCCAAGGCTCTGTTTGCCGCAGACGACAAGGACAAGATCCAGCGCATTGACAAGGGCAAGAATCCTGCCGGCGGCATGACGGCCCACTTTGACCCGGTTGAAGATCTGCACGCGATCTTGAACCGGATGGATCCTGAGTACACCAGCGGTAAGCAAGGCAAGCCGTATGTGAGGGTGTACAAGCCCCGGGGCGGCGCGCTCGGCAGCTGGGGAAGCACTCGCGGTGGTGCTCAGGGCAGTGGATACCGCAGCGGCGGAGCTAGCGACAGCGAAGGCGGCCGTGGCCGTGGCGGTTTCCGCGGTAACCGCGGTGGCCGAGGAGGTGAGAGGGGCCGCGGTCGTGGCCGCGGCGGTTACAAGGACGGTGGCTCCGGCGCACCCGCTGGCGGCGACTCGTGAACGACTAATTCACGGCAATGATCCAAGGATTATTGCCAGTCCAGTTTCTAACTTCTCTGGGGTTGCATTCGATTCTACCTGTAGTGGCTAGCTAGGGGGTAGCGGGTGGACGGATGGAGCACGGGTCGTTTTTCTCAGGGCGGTAGAAAGGAGAGGCAGGTTCAGGATACAGCTTTCCGAGCTTTCAGGCACAGGCTGATCATAACTCGGGGGAGCTCTCTGGCTTTTTTCTCTTATTGCTTCACTTTTCGTCGTGTTGTGGTAGACGTGCGTGGGCGAGCAGACATTTAGCGTCACTGTGTGTATTCCCCCGAAAAAGATTATTCCCCTGTACGTTACGTAGCGAGAATGGGAAAAGTCGTGATTTCATCACTCGATTGTCATGACGCCGAAGTTGAGGCCAAGTGCCTTCAGCCCTACGAGGCCGAACTGTACGACCACAACCATCTTTTGGAGTGACGGAGGGGCGGCCTTCCGATTTCCAACGATGGATCAAGGAGGGACAGCCATGCTGGACGGGGGGTTGTAAGAGTCGCGGAATACCTAGCACGCAGATCGGCGCAGCAGTCTAGTGAGATGTGGGGTTCGCATGTGCCTGGGGCTGGGGCGGAGCGAGTGCCAGCTGTGGGAGCTCGGGCAGGCCCAACGCTTGGCTGCGCGCCGATGGGGAGTGACGTCGCAACAGCGGGTTCCTACAGAGCGAGCACCGCTGCTACTGATCAACCCCAGACCACGACACGCCATCCCGCCACCTGCACTGCACGCGTCTCCACGACACCCGAGAACCCGCCCTTCGCTGCTCCAACTGCCTCTGAATCCTCCGCGATAGTCTCATTCGCCCCTCAACGTCGCCGTCTCTCTCCGCGCCACACCCGCAAATCGTACCCGGCGACATCGACATGGGGGGACGCTGGGGAGGCACGCGGCTGGTCACCGCGCTGCTGTTAGTCCTGCTCGTCGCGACAGGCCTTGCTGCAGATGATGGGTTCACAAAGAAGCATGAGAAGGGCCGATGCGCCATTCGCGGGCACTGCGGCAGCCAGGGTTTCTTTGGTCCGCAGCTGCCTTGTCCCGACAACGGACTGGCGAAGACTCCCGAGGCAGATGTTCGCGAAAAGCTCGTGAGCATCTGTGGCGACAAATGGACCGACACGGATGTCTGCTGCGAGGAGGAGCAGGTAAGATTACCTCGATCCTGCTGAAACGGCCAACTGCTGATGTCTTGGCCATAGATCGATGCTCTGCAATCCAACCTGAAGCGCGCCGAGTCGCTCATCGCATCCTGCCCGGCATGCAAGGAGAACTTCTTCAACATGTTCTGCACCTTCACTTGCTCGCCGGACCAGTCTCTCTTTGTTAACGTGACTGAAACGAAGCCGAAGGGCTCCAAGTTGATGGTCACGGAGCTGAATCACTTGGTGTCGGACGACTACGGCTCGCGCTTCTATGACAGCTGCAAGGATGTAAAGGTCGGCGCCACCAACGGCAATGCCATGGATCTCATCGGAGGCGGCGCCAAAAATTACACCCAGTTCCTCAAGTTCCTCGGCGACAAGAAGTTCTTGGGGAGCCCGTTTCAGATGAACTTCCCGGATCCTAAGCTGTACCCCGGACTTGAGCCTCAGACCAAGGACGCTAAAGCTTGCAATGACTCGGATGAGCGGTACCGATGTGCTTGTGTCGACTGCCCGTCCGTCTGCCCGGAGTTGCCCGAGGTTAAAGAGAACAAACAATGCCGCGTCGGTGTGCTGCCATGCCTGTCCTTTGCCGTCATCATCATCTACTCGGGTTTCATTTTACTGCTTACCGTTGCTGTCTCTGGACATGTTGCCTATCAAAAGCATTACCAGCACAAACAGGAGCGTCTGCGCCTCCTCCAGGACTTGGAGCCCAGTGACGATGAAGACGAGGGTGATATTGTGGCCGCCGCCGGCATCCTTGAAACTCCGACGAGGAAGTATAAGTTGAATGACTGGTGCGATAAGGTGTTCAGCCGCCTGGGATATACCTGCGCCGAGTTCCCCGCCATCACCATACTCTGCAGTGTGGTCGTCGTTGTCCTCCTGAGTCTGGGCTGGCTTAGATTCACCGTGGAGACGGATCCAGTCCGACTCTGGGTGGCGCCTGACTCACCTGCCGCGCAAGAGAAGAATTTCTTTGACGGAAACTTCGGCCCCTTCTATCGTGCCGAGCAGGCCTTCCTCGTTAATGATGTCGACCCGACTGGACCTGGCCCCGTCCTGAGTTATGAGACTTTGCGCTGGTGGTTCGATGTCGAACACCGGGTGAATAGGTTGATGGTTGACGGAATCACTTTCGATGATGTCTGCTTCAAGCCTACCGGTGACGCATGCGTGGTCCAGTCACTTACTGGCTACTTCGGCGGAGAGTTCTCCAACATCGACTCCAAGACTTGGGAAAAGGATCTTCGGGCATGCACCGATTCCCCAGTGGACTGCCTGCCAGATTTCCAGCAACCGTTGAACCCCTCAATGCTCTTGGGCGGCTGGAAGGATGACGTTCTCAATGCCCAGGCTCTGATCGTTTCTTGGGTCGTCAACAACCATCAGGAAGGCACTGAAGAGCTTGAGACAGCAATGAAGTGGGAGAACGGCCTCAAGAACCTCTTGAGCGCCGTACAGGAAGAGGCTGCTGAGCGTGGCCTCCGGCTTTCGTTCAACACGGAGATCAGCTTAGAGCAGGAGCTGAATAAATCTACCAACACCGACGCCAAGATTGTTGTCGTCAGCTACATCATCATGTTCATCTACGCTTCGCTAGCATTGGGATCTACGACACTTTCTGTGAGAACCATCCTGCAGAACCCGGCCAATGCTCTCGTTCAGTCGAAGTTCATGCTGGGTGTGGTTGGTATCGTCATAGTCCTCATGTCCGTCTCCGCATCCGTCGGCCTGTTTTCTGCGGTTGGCATCAAGGTCACTCTTATCATTGCTGAGGTCATACCTTTCCTTGTTCTTGCCGTCGGCGTCGACAACATTTTCCTGATCGTCCACGAGTTTGAACGTGTCAACATCAGTCACGCCGAAGGATCTGTGTCGGAGCGAATCGCAAAGGCTCTTGGCCGGATGGGCCCCAGTATCCTGCTGTCCGCGATGACTGAGACGGCGACTTTCGCTCTAGGTGCGGCCGTTGGCATGCCCGCCGTACGGAACTTCGCCGCATATGCCGCCGGCGCCGTCTTTATCAATGCTCTGCTGCAGGTAACTATGTTCATCTCTGTCCTTGCTCTGAACCAGCGCAGGGTCGAGGCCAGCCGTGCCGACTGCTTCCCGTGCTTCCGCGTCACTCGTGCGGATCCCGGTGGCCTTAGTACCGGCGTCGTTTTCGGTGGCGAGGAGGAAGGCACTTTGCAACGATTCATTCGCAAGAGCTACGCGCCGACACTGCTGGGCAAGAAGACGAAGACGTTGATCATAACCGTTTTCCTTGGGCTGTTCACGGCAGGTTTGGCACTTCTGCCCAAGATTGAGCTTGGCCTTGACCAGCGGATTGCGATTCCCAGCGACTCGTACCTCATCGACTACTTCAACGACCTCTACGACTACTTTGGCGTGGGTCCTCCGGTCTACTTCGTTACGCGGGATTTGAATGCCACCCAAAGAAGCCACCAGCAAGAGCTATGCGGACGATTCTCCACCTGTGGCGAACTCTCACTAGCAAACACGCTTGAGCAGGAGAGGAAGAGGCCTGATACTTCCTACATTGCGGATGCCGCAGCCAGCTGGATCGATGACTACTTCCTTTGGTTGAACCCGTCTCTCGACAGCTGCTGCTACGATGAAGGAAATGATCCGTTTGGTGATGATAAGAAGGCCTGCTTTGCTGACCGCAATCCTCCATGGAACCCCACTTTGAAGGGCATGCCCGAAGGCCAGGAATTCATCCAGTACCTGGAGCGTTGGATCGAGGCTCCCACCACCGGTGACTGCCCGCTTGCTGGCAAGGCCGCTTATGGAAATGCGTTGGTCATCGACTCGGAGCGTCTGACGATTCCAGCTTCTCATTTCAGGACGTCGCACACTCCGCTGCGCAGCCAGAAAGACTTCATCGATGCCTACGCATCGGCCAGGAGGATCGCGTCCGAGATCAGTGACCGCACGGGCGTCTCGGTCTTCCCCTACTCCAAGTTCTACATCTTCTTCGACCAGTACGCCTCGATCGTGCGGGTCACCTGTGCACTCGTCGGCTCCGCCCTGGCCTTGATTTTCGTGATCACGTCGGCGCTCCTGGGCAGCGTACGCACCGGTCTCGTCGTGACGGCGACGGTCATCATGACGGTGGTCGACATCGCCGGCACCATGGCGCTGGCCGGGGTGTCGCTCAACGCCGTCTCGCTGGTCAACCTGATCATCTGCGTGGGCATCGCGGTCGAGTTCTGCGCGCACATCGCGCGGGCCTTCACGTACCCGTCGCAGTCGCTGCTCGAGCGCGCGGCGCCAAAGGTGCGGTTCAGAGGCCGGGACGCGCGCGCGTGGGTGGCCCTCACCAACGTCGGCGGCAGCGTCTTCAGCGGCATCACCGTGACCAAGTTCCTGGGCGTGGCGGTGCTGGCCTTCACGCGCAGCAAGATCTTCGAGATCTACTACTTCCGCGTCTGGCTCGCGCTGGTCGTCTGGGCCGCGTTGCATGCGCTGGTGTTCTTGCCCGTGGCGCTGAGCTTGTTCGGCGGAAGAGGTGAGTTTTCGATGACCCCCCACGTTCGTGCTGCCGTATGAATGATAGATGGCTGACCTTTTTTTTTTCCTTCGTGACAACAGGCTACATGGACTCGGAGTCTGAGGGCGGACTCGAGCAAGACCTCCGTGGCAGACGCGGCTACCACCCTGCGCTTTACGCAGAAGAAGATTACGATTCGGATGATATGTAGATTAGTCGGTCTACCACCATATTTGCTATATCTCTCTCTCGGTTCAGATTGCCGTCTCATAGAAGGATGTGCGGGAGGTCGGTCGCAGCGTCTGCTCTAGATATGTATACGCATTTTTTTTCTTTCATCACACGTGTGCTGGAAGAGGCATGTCAAGAAATGGCGGATGGCGGGGAAGAAACGCTTTTGCTTTGATTCGCTCTGATGTGTCGACTGTAGACTTAGCTGTATGAACAATAGGAGTTGGTGTTTGAAATTGGCATCTGGATGAAGGTAGTGGCCAGCCACGTTCGGCATAGAACCAGAATCGGAATCGGGGAACAGGCTGGAGGGCCGGAAGCGATTCCGCAGCAGGGAAAATGGCGTGTTGGAGGATGAGCGTGGGAGATCTCCCGGCCGGATGGCGGCAGCAAGAGGTGGCCAGCGTCGTCGGAGGACCTAGCCGGCGCCCCTCCCGCCTTTGCGCAATTCCGCCCTCCACTACGTCATGGATCCGCGCCCGCACCCGCACACTTGTCCAGCCCTGCCAAGTTTCCGGCACATGCTTGACTCCTTGACTGCCGCAACGCGTAAGGCGCTGCCGTCTTGTCCGAGAGCGGGTGTTCGTGCTTAACTGTCAGGACCCGTGTTGCTTCCTTCAATGATGTAGGCGCGCGTCGCGTGCGTGCGTGCAAGTGTAAATAGACGCCGCGCACTGCTCTCCACCGCTCCTCCGACGTATTTAGCCTCTTGCTGCTATTGCCTTATTATTGAAACAAGCTTTCTGTCCGCTCAAGCCTTCTCAAGCATTCTAATAAAGCTTCACTCCATTTCCACCTCGTTGCTTACCTGCTGGTCCATTTCCGCTCACACGCGGCCTTCCCCCTCCAGCCTTCTTACCTCCGTGCTTGCCGTTACGCCTTCGTCTCTCTCTCTCTCCCACCACTGTCGAGATCCCCCTACTCAACTGCTCCCACCCCCCCATCGTGACCACACCACTCCCCAATCAAGACTCCACAGCAAAAACAAAACAAAACAAACCCACAAGAAAACCCCCCCCTCCCAACCATGGTCTCCTCCCGCCACAACCGGCCCATCAACGGGCAGAGAAAAACCACCAGCTTCAAGCGCGAGCCAACGTCCAAACCCGACGACCTCGAAGCCGGCACCAGCCCCCGACGGCCCCGCAGCGCCATCAACCACAACCCGCTGCCCCCACGCTTCCGCTTCCGCGACGCCGCCGTCACCGCGCGCGACATGCAAGACGTGGACCAGATCAAGAAATCCCTGCGGGCGGGGCTGTCGGAGCACGCCTCGCTCGAGCAGTTCCGGCTGTCGGACGCGGAGATCAAGCGGGTCAAGAACAAGAAGGTGCGGGATTTCTATCGCGAGCAGAACGACCGGCTGGACGACTGGCTCGAGGTGGACGCGCTGGTGCTGGCCATGGCGGACGACGTGCTGGACAGCATGAACCCGAGGGATTTCGATCACGATGGCATCGCCGAGGCGGGCGGCGCGTTGCAGGCGACGAGCGAGAGCATCGAGCCGCTGTTGCCCGAGGAGGAGAGGGAGAAGAGGAGGAAGGCGAGGAGGAAGGCGGGGTGGGCGATTAATGTGAGTTTTTTCACTTTTCTCTTCTTCTATTCTGGGTGTGTGCTGATTGCGCCTGGCAAAAAGATCAACGTCGTCGCGAACATCCTGCTGCTCGGAGCAAAGTGCATTGCGGCGTACTTCTCGTCGTCGCTCTCGCTGCTCGCGTCGTTGGTCGACTCGGCATTGGACCTGCTGTGCACGCTGATTGTCTGGACGACGAACAAGCTGGTGGCGTGGCGGTTGAGCAAGCTGAGGGCCAAGTTCCCCGTAGGCAGGAAACGTCTGGAGCCGTTGGGCATCCTGGTCTTCTCTATCGTGAGTATTTGCCCCCTTTGATACTAGAGGGGAAGAAAAAAAAAAACATCTCAACTGACTTACTCCTGGCTAGATCATGATCGTATCCTTTGTACAAGTCCTGCAGGAGTCCATCGGGAAGCTGATACCAGGAACCGGCAAGGCCGAGGAGCTCCCCGTCATAGCGATTTCGGCCATGGCCGCGACCATCGGCTTGAAGGGCCTCATCTGGTTCGGCTGCATCCCGATCAAGACGACGCAGGTGCAGGCTCTCGCCCAAGGTAAGCCGCATCCATCTCTTAGATTAGTATTTCCAAAGCGAGCCGGCTATTGACTTCCACGCCCACCACCCAACACAGACTGCAAGACAGACGTCTACTTCAACACGCTCTCCCTCCTCTTCCCCGTCATCGGCGCCAAGGCCGACGTCTGGTGGCTCGACCCGCTCGGCGCCTCGCTGCTCTCGCTCTTCATCATCTACGACTGGGCCTCGACGTCGCTCGAGAACGTGACGCGCCTCACGGGCTCCGCCGCCGACGACCGCGTCCAGCGCAAGATGCTGTACCTCGCCTACCGCTTCACCCCCGTCGTGTCCGGCCTCAAGCGCGTCACCGCCTACCACGCCGGCGACGGCGTCTGGGTCGAGATGGACGTGCTGCTGGACGAGAAGACGCCGCTGCGGAAGGCGCACGACATCGCCGAGACGTTGCAGTATTGCTGTGAAGGTGCGTTTCGCGCTTGTTTTTTTTTTCTTTCTCTCCTAAACATTCTGTGGTTGTGTGAGAAATGCTTGCTGATGCTCTTGATGTTGTGCAGCGCTGGGCGAAGTCGACAGAGCCTTCGTTACTACGGATTACGCAACTCAGGGTCCTTCTGGACACGTCAGTGAAGATTAAGTAGAGGTAGACGCAAGAGTAGATCGGTGGAGGACTATGGAAATATGATGTTACTCGTGAGCATTGAGAAGCATAAAGCTTTTGTGTCATCGCTGCTGCGGCATGAAGCTGGAAGAGGGGCACTTGAAGCAGATGTCCCGACACAGATGTTGGTTTAAACAACACTGTTACATCTGTAGTGAAGTAGACATTCAGACTTTGACGCGAGTGTTTAAGCTGTACAGGTTTATACAGATATGGGATTCCATTACATACGTGAAATAGATGTAGATGGGTTAAGTTGTTGTGTTCTGTGACCCACCACAAAACCGTCACATGTATGTACATCCGCTCTACTTCTTCCCACCAAACAACAACAGCCCCTGCTCGCCCAAATCCTCCTCATCACTCTCCTTCTCATCCACGTCTTCCTCGGCCAACGCATTGCGTTGGCCAAACAGACTGCTGAACAACTCATCGGCCTGGCGGTCCTGCCACCCGTTGCGATCCTCGGGCGCCATGTAGTTCTGCAGCTTCTCGTGCACCGTGTAGCGCAGCTTGCGGCCCTTGCTGGCGCGGACGTCGACGTTGGCGCGGTGCGTCTTGGCCTCGCGCGCGGCCTGCCAGTGGCTCGTGATGGGGACGCTGTTGAAGCTCATGCCGGCCAGGGCGCCCGTCTGGCTCTCCTCGCTGCGCCGCTCCAGCAGCTCCTTGAGCAGCAGGCCGTAGAAGTCGGCGTCGTCGAAGACGTCGGCGCTCTCGGTGCCGGCGTGCAGCGGCGCGCACGAGCGGGCGGTGCGCGTCTTTTGCACGAGGCGGGCGGGGTCGGACAGCTGCGAGGAGAGCACGTCGACGATGGTCTGCTCGGTGGTGGTGGTGAGGCGGCCCTTGGTGGGCTGGGTGGAGACGCCGCGCGCCTTTGCGGACCACTTTTCCAGCACGCTCTGTCTGTGGGGCAGCGTTTCGGACTCGTAGGATTGCATGTAGCTCCAAGCCTCGTCGGAGGGGGTGGACGTGCTGATTTCGACGCGCTTGCGCTTGGCGCCGGTGCGCGCCGTGTGCAGGCTCTCGCGCAGGTCGTTGAGCGAGTTCCAGAGATTGCAGGCGGCCTCCTCGGCGGCGCGGACGGGGTCGTTGAGGTCATCTGCGTCGTCAGGGACTTGTACTTGCGGCGAAGCGAGCGAGTTCGTCGAGATGATGGCCTTCTGGAGCCTGATCCTGGTGTTGAGGAGCGCATCGAATGTCTTCCGCTGGGCTTTAACAGCACGACCTTTCTCTGCGTCTGCCTTTGCCGCCTCCGAAATGGTTGCGGCAACGGTCTTTTGCTCCTCGCTCATGATCTTGCGCAGCTCGGCGCGATCGATGCCTCCGCTCTTGGGCGCAGCGTCCTCCATGTCGTCGTCGTCGTCGTCGTCGTCGTCGTCGTCTTCGTCGCTGAAATCGGTCGCCGAGGTGCCATCTCCTTCGTGTTCAGAACCGCTACCTTCTGCGCCGTCCATTTCGTCGTCCTCAGAGACACCGCTTTCGTCTTCATCGTCCTCTTCGTCGCTGCTGCCCTCGTCGAAACCTCTGCTGAAAGGGTCGTCGCTATCCTCGTCCCCAACAGCATCGCGGCCTACGCGGGAGCCTTCGTACTTGGGGCCCAGTGGGACAGTGTCGCGCTTGCGGAGCTTGCTCTTCCTGCGACACGGTCAATCCCAATGATGCCGCAGCAGAATGGCTGGCGCAACATACCCAACATCGACATAATGTTCTCTCCCGTCGTGGGCGTTCTCGTCATCGCTCCCCGAGTCATCGCTCTCGCTGGCGTCGTTGTCCGGCTCTTCGGGATCGAAATCTATGCGGCGCGTTAGCAAAGTCTGGTTTCCCCAGTCAGTGGTGGAGGGTCGGACCTTTGGGGGCGGGGTTGTCGAGGTCTGCGAGCTGCTCAGCCAGCGACTTTGCGCGGTTTCCTTTGGCCATGTCGAGAAAAGTCGGGGCTTCTGCGTGTTTTCGGCGGAGAGTTGGGCGACGGAGCTCACAAAATTTCTGGACGGGCTTGCCGGTCGGCGTCTCGCAACCGCCGACACGACCGGCCGGCCCGACTGCCCGGCTGCCGAATGCTCCACGACGTCACGCTTCAAAGAGGGTCGACGACGAGAAAAGACGATGCCGCTATGAAGTCGCGCGTGTTCTCTACGCTGCGCGCATTGCAACATGAGAACCCTCTGGTGAACCGACTCTCTCTCTTTCCTCTACTTGGCCAGAGCTGACGTGGGCAATTGGCAGGGTCTTCCGCGCTCCGGTGCGCCACCGCAGATTCCACGCATGCAACGCGGCCTACCACAAAAGCGCAGCATCAAAGATGTAAACAAGGTCGTCGCCGTTTCGTCTGCCAAAGGCGGCGTCGGCAAGTCGACAATAGCAGGTCCGCAGCAATCATCCGAAAACCGTCCTCAAAAATCCAATCCAACCTGATTCCGCCTGGCAGTCAATCTCGCCCTCTCGTTCGCCCGCCGCGGTCTCCGCGCCGGCATCCTCGACACCGACATCTTCGGCCCCTCCATCCCCACCCTGCTCAACCTCTCCGGCGAGCCAAGGCTCTCACCAAGTCAGTCATGATGACGGCGATTCCGCAGCCAGCACTCCCCTCCCCTCATCCACCACACTGACACTGACCACCCCCCCTCCTCCTCCCAGACAACCAACTCCTCCCCCTCTCCAACTACGGCATCAAATCCATGTCCATGGGCTACCTCGTCGGCGAAGACAGCCCCATCGTCTGGCGCGGCCTGATGGTGATGAAAGCGCTGCAGCAGCTCCTGCACGAAGTCGACTGGGGCGGGCTCGACGTGCTCGTGCTGGACCTGCCGCCGGGCACGGGCGACGTGCAGCTGACCATCACGCAGCAGGTCGTCGTCGACGGCGCCGTCGTCGTCTCCACCCCACAAGACATCGCCCTCAAGGATGCCATCAAGGGTGTCCACATGTTCCGCAAGACGGCCGTGCCGCTCCTCGGCGTCGTCGAGAACATGGCCGCGTTCCACTGCCCCCACTGCCACGTCGAGACGCCCATCTTCGCGTCTACGTCTGCGTCTGCGTCTGCACAGTCTTCGTCCGACGATGTCGCCACGGCGCACGCGCACTCCCTCCACGCCCGCTTCGAGGCCCTCGGCGTCCCCCTCCTCGGCCGCATCCCGCTGCACCCGCGCATCTGCGCCGACGCCGACCGCGGCAAGCCCAGCGTGGTGGCCGAGCCGGCCGAGAGCCCGAACGTGGTCGCGTTTGAGGCGGTGGCGAGGGGCGTGGCGGAGAGGATTGGGTTGAAGTGGTGATGGGACGGTGGCGGGGAC